CTAGTACTGGCCAGAATAGAGGAGGAGGCGGATGATGATGATGAGGAGGAGGATCAGGGGGAGGAGGAGGAGGAGGAGGAGGAGGAGGAGGAGGAGGAGGAGCAAGAGGGGGGGAGGAGGAGGAGGAGGAGGAGGAGGTGGAGGAAGATGAGAAAGAAGCTCAGGAGGGAGGATGATGAGGATGATGATGCTGATGAGGATGAGGATGAAGATGAGCATGAGGGTGATGATGATGATGCTGATGCTGATGCTGATGCTGTAGCTGCTGCTGATGATGAAGATGATTATGCTGATGATGATGACGATGATGATGATGATGACGAGGAGGAGGAGGATGATGGTGGCGATGATGATGATGATGATGATGATGATGATGATGATGATGATGATGATGATGGTGGTGGTGGTGGTGGTGGTGGTGATGATGATGATGATGATGAGGAGGAGGAGGAGGAGGAGGAGGAGGACAAGGAGGAGGAGGAGGAGGAGAAGGAGGAGGAGGAGGAGGAGGAGGAGGAGGAGGAGAGGGAGAGAATGAGGACGATGAGGAGAAAGCTTCTTGGTGCCCTCTTGGGGCCTCCTGGGGGCCTTATGGAAGCCTGCCTCTTTGGGGGCAACTTGGGGGCCTCCTGTGGCCTCTTGTGGCTTTCTTGTGGATTGGCCGTCTGACGCTCTCAGAAGCCGTGTTTGGGGCCTCTCTGGGCCGTCTTGGTGCCCTTTTGAAGCGCTGAAGGGCCGTCTTGGGGCCATCTTGGGAGCCTCGTGGGCCATCTTGGCGTCCTCTTGGGCCGACTCGGGGCCCTCTTGGGAGCCTCATGGGCTCTGTGGGGGCTATGTTGGAAGCCCTTTGGGCCGCCCTGAGCGGTCGGAAACCAACATAGGCGCGAGAACCTCAACATGCTTCAAACATCCAAGGGCAACAAATGGTTTTGGCCTCCTCGGGCTCTCCTTGAGGGCCTCTTGGAGCCCTCTTAGGCTGTCTTGGGGGCCTCTTGGGCCGTCTTGAGGCCGTCTTCAGAGCCTCTTGAGCCGTCTTGCGCCTTCTGGAGCCGTTTCGTTGCCGTCTTGATTGTCTAAGAAACCGTCCTGGAGGCCACTTTGGCCGTTTGGAAGCCGAACAAAAATGCCGGACAGAATTTAGGAGGGGACGATTTTCGATGGTTGTGCGTGCTACGAGGGGAGGGGCGTCGGCCCTAGAAATCTCAAGAAATCTTCTAGACAACAGCAAGCGTTCTCACACTCCCGTTGGGCACAGAGCCCAGTGGCGGATTCCAGGAGTTCAGAATTTCGCGGCGGATCCAGCTGTGGGGACAAGAGAGGGGTCCTTCGTGACATAGCCCGAAGGCCTAGGTGTGGGGGGGCCGCCAAGGGGACACCCAGGGGGTATACCCATCTCATCTTTCTTTTTGGGGCTACTGCCCAGGTCTTCTTCATGATAGAGTGCTCCAGGGGGCAAATCCTCGAACTCTTTCTGGTAGCCGCGCTGGTTGTCGAACTGGTAGTGCTGGCGTAGCCATGCTGGTTGTCGAGCTGGTTGTCGTGCTGGTAGCCGTATCCGTTGCCGTACAGGTCATACTCGTTCCTGGAGGTGGGCTCCAAGATGTTCGTGATGAGGTTGGGGATGGACTCCAGCGCCTCTCTGTTGAGGTTGCTTGTCTCCTGCTTGTTACGCAGGTTCTCTCACGCGTTGTTCGAGCATGGCTGGCGGTGACAGCTGTCGCGGGCAATGGCCATGGCAAATCGATGGCCGCTGGAGGGTGTCCCTCCATCGCGGCATATGCAAGCCGGCACATGGCAGCGCGTTCAGGCTGTTGATCACCTTTCTGCTGTGCTCGGTCTCCGCGTACGCGGGTAAGTCTCTGCCCGACGCCGGTGTCCTCGTAGCACTTGTGTCTCATGATGTTGGTCTCTTGGATGCGGTACAGTCAAGACGCTGAAATGAAGAACAGTTTGGGTTCGGAAGTGGCTCGATGTTCCTTAGGTTCCTCCAGTGCTGTTCCTCTTGCCCTCCTGGGGCACGGAGGCGCTTACAGGGCCAAGAAGGGGCTTCGTTCCTTGTTGCGAAGGCCTGACGGCCGGTGCCGCCGACCCTGAAGAGGACCACGACGTCGGCGACGAAGTGGGCGGAGACAGAGGCCGTGGAAGATGAGGAGGAGGAGGAGGAGGAGAAGGAGGAGGAGGAGGAGGAGGAGGAGGAGGAGGAGGAGGAGGAGGAGGAGGAGGAGGAGGAGGAGGAGGAGGAGAGGGCGAGGAGGATGGGGGAGGAGGAGGAGAGAGGGCGAGGAGGATGGGGGAGGAGGAGGAGGAGGAGGAGAGGAGGAGGAGGAGGAGAGGAGGAGGAGGAGGAGGAGGAGGAGGAGGAGGAGGAGGAGGAGAGGAGGAGGAGGAGGAGGAGGAGGAGGATGGGGCTTCGTTCCTTATTCAGTCGTTCCGTCTTTCAGCGGCGGCGGGCTCGGTCGCGGGCGCTGAGTCCTGCGTGGCCCGGTGCCGCGCCTGGGCGCCGCCTGCTTGCCCTGTGCGGCGGGGGCGGGCTCGGGCGCACGCGCCTCCTCCTCCTTATCCTCCTCCTCCTCGTCCTTCTCCTCCTCCTGCTCTGCATCCTCCTCCTTTTCCTCCTCCTCCTCCTCCTCCTCCTCCTCCTCCTCCTCCTCCTCCTCCTCCTCCTCCTCCTCCTCCTCCTCCTCCTCCTCCTTCCTCCTCCTCCTCCTCCTCCTCCTCCCTCCACCTCCTGTTCTTCTTCCTCCTCCTCCCCCTCCTCCTCTTTCTCCCATTCCTCCCTCGCTCGCTCCCTCCCTCTCTCATCCCTTCTCCTCCTGCTCCTTTTTATCCGTCATTTGTCTGGGGAGGAAGAAGAGGGAGAGGGAGGATTTGAAACAGTTCCGGTGGAACTGTGCATTTCCTTTACCTCCTGGGGGGGCTCTTGTGGCCACCGCTGGACGTAGCCCGAAAGGCTGGTCGGGATTGTCCATGAGGGGTCTTGCAACCGACATCCCTGGGGGCTGCTCCGGGCTCCTTTGGAAGGTCTTGGGGCCCCCTTGGGGCTCTCTCGTGGCCCTCTCGGGAGCCCTGGGGGGCCTCCTGGGTCTATCTGGGAGGCCCTCGATCAAAAGGGAAGGGGGTCCTTTATCTGGGCCCCCCCTCGCGAGCTCTCTAAGGCCCGATGCGGCACGTCCGCCAGGTCTGCTGCTGCCGCGGCGCTGACGCTGCAGCAGGTTCGCGCCGTCCCGAGGCGGCGAAGCACGGCGCCGCGGGCGCTCTCCACGGCTGGCGAGGGCACCCTCCGCGGGACCGCCTCTCGGGGCCCCGGGTCCGCAGGCAACGGTCGATAGTCGGCACGCAGCGAATACGAATACGAACGGCTGCTGCAGAAGCACTCGGAGCTCATTTGCGATTCACCTTCTCTGGCAAGCAGCGCCAGCGCCCCCGAGGTTTTGATCCTTGTCTCGTTTCCGCATTTCCGCCTCTACCAGCCCGCCCGTCTCGCACTGGTTCTGTGGCGCTCGCCTGCGGAGGCAGGTGTCGTTGGGGTGTCCGATCTCTTTTCCTCCAACCGACACATTCGGGGCTCATTTCTTGGTTCGGCGCCCGTGCCCCCCTGGTGGCGCCTCTGGCGCCGCCCCTGGCGCACTCCCGGTGCCGATGCAAGAGCCCCGCGCGGACCTCCGAAAGCCGACGCCTGCGCAGGCGAACTCCACACGTGCGAAATGCTGTGCCGACAGCCTCTGGGAGCCTCCGCCTGCCGCGGCACCGGAGCCAGCCGAGGCGCTCCAGGAGAGGGCCCCCTGATGCCCAGGGGTCGAGCAGGAGGGCCGACCCCCCGGCCTGGGGCGAAGGCGGGCGGAAGGCCGGCGAGGTGGCTGGGCGGGCGGCAGCGTGTGCGGTATCGGCGGCCCCGCTAGCGGTGGCTTGGCGGAAGCAGAGGCAGACGCCCAGAGAGAGAGAGAGACGTCAACGACAGTAGGGATCAGACAAGGGCACGAACATTTACACTGTTCACTTCTAATTCTTCGAGAGTACTAGATTTTTTTGGGGGCCAAGATCCATTTCATTTCTAATTGTTCTGTCCTGGGCCTCTTCCTGGCCACTACGGGGCCAGGAACCGTTAGAAACGAGCACAATTATAAGTGAGCGCGATTAGAAATGAACGACGAGTAGGGATCAGACAAGGACACGAACATACAAGCTCGGAGGTCCGCGCAGATTCCTCGGATCGGCGTCGGAGCCCCCCGGCGGCGCCTCCTGCGCCGCCCCTGGCGAGATCCGCGCACCAGGGAGGGGGGTCCAGCGCTGATCCGAGAAATCCGCGCGGACCTCAGAGTTTTTATGTTTATGTCATTGTTTGTTCCTCTAGAGAGGCCATCGGCAGGGCACCCAGGGGTACTAAAGTCGGCCAGATGGCCGCTTGCATGGGGACTCGGGTCGTTCTCCAAGGAAGTCTCGGGAGATTGGAGCCTCCAAAGTTTTTGGGGATTCCGAAATCACCGCACGGTCTGTCACCGCACCGTTTCGGGACCCCCAAATGAACGGTCGGGAGCTCGAAACGAGGCAGACTTTTGGTCCGCAGGGGGCTTGGAGTCTTCTTAGTAGTACAAAGTTTCATGCCCCTCGAGCAAGATTTTGATTGCACCACTGTGCCAGCGCTTTCTGGTGCTGTTGCTGCTACTGCTGCTTTTGTGGAGACAGCAGATGGGATGGCAGCGGCAACGTCTACCACTAGAGTTCGTGCTTTGAGCTCTCGAAGAGTGGTGGGTGTGGATATATGCCCGCCTGTGTGGACGGGCAGGTATCCGCAGCCGCTGCTCCCAGAGTGCTAGGGACCCGACCCGACTCTGCGGTAGTAGATGTGGACGTATTCTGGCGGCGCAGTGATGCTTGCGCCAGCGTCGTTTGCGAAGCCATGAGTCGGTCGCCTGCCTTTTGCGCCCTCGCGTCTGCCGTCCAGTGCTCCCGACACAGGGGGCGGGAGGTGCAGCCGATGCTGCTGGCAAGCCCGACGGGTCCGCCGCAGAGCGCGCCCTTCTTCTCCCAGAGGTGTCGAAGAGCAGTGGCAGGGGTGCAGGGGATGGAAGAGGGGAGGGAGTGATGTGTGGGACGGCTTCAAAAGGGTTCAGGCAGATGGGGTGGGGCCCTTTCCCTGTCTTTAGTCCTTTTTGTGGCCCCAGAACCAGGGCGTGTGGCTCAGCGGAGGGTGTTGGCCCAGTCCCATCCGCCCTCCCACCCTCTCTGGATCCCTCCAGATAGAGGGGTCGAAGGAAGAGGGAGGGCGATGAGTTCGGTCAGGATGTTTGGCTTACCATGTCGCTCCGCCGGTTCTGGCCCACCATGTTTCGGCGCGACACGCTATCCGCTTCCCGGTCCCCAGCCGTCAACGTCCCGAGCCTTTCCCGACCTCCCGCCCCGCGGAGCGGAGCGACACGCTATTCGCTCGCAAGGCATAGCGTGTTGACGGGGCCGCCGCGGCGACACGCTATACCAAAGTTCCCGACCGTACGCAGATCTATCAGGCGCGACGCGTGGTCCAGGCCCTGGTGCAGTGAGGCCGCAATGCTCTGAACACACGAGGCTGCAACATAACCAAGACGCTGGGGAGGAGGAAGGGAAGGGAGGAAGTGGAAGGAGGGAAGAGAAGAGAAAGGAATGTAGATAATTGCCATCTGTTTTCCAAACAAGTCACGTGCGGTCCAAGCCGCTGGCTGCAGCGGGAGGGAGGTGGGACGACCTCTGCGGCGATAAGGAAACACGTGGCTGCATTCTCTGTGCTCCACCCTCTACGGCGCAATGTCTGTCTCGGCTCTTTGCCGCAATTTCAGCTGTTCTTATTACGCATACGATTCAATTCCAATTTGCTTGATCACTGATCTGACCGTGGCGCGCATGGTTTCAAAAAGTGTATGTACATCCATGCGCATTGTCGTTGCTGATGATCTCGCAACAGGGAAAAGTACTACCACGGCTACCACTGCTACTATGCCTTTTTATGTTTCTATTCCTTCCACCCATACAAGTGTGAATGCTGATGCTGTTCTTACAAGTAGGATGCGTCAGATTATTACCACCGCTAGTATTACTAATGCTGGTGCTGCTTTATTGTTTGCTACTACGAATCCGACTTGTGTAATCATGTTGCCAATCCATTGCAAACACGATTACTACTACAACTATTCTCGCGACGGTGACCACTATTCTTTTTGTTTACTTCGTTCATATCAGTAGCAAATCTTATCGGTAACGCCCGTAGTACTGTCATTATCACGCTGACTGTTACCACCACGATTGCTACGACTGTTGCTATTTTTATTTGTGTGGTTCGTAATTTTTTAGCACGATTGCAGCTATCATTTCTGCAACTTTCATTATTTCGAGTACAATCGCTACAACTGTTACTAGTTGTGCGATTAATGTTGGCGTTAGTACGTTAAGTTGTGTCGCCATTTTTGCTATTAGTATTATTATCCTTCTTCATGTGCGCAGTATCCTTGCATCATATCGTCCCATTATGTTTGCGATTCCTATTGCGATTACGCGTGATTTTATGATTAGCGCAGTTGTTCGTACACATTGCAGTATGCAAAACGGTTGCTGTTATTTTACTGCCGATATGGTTAATACCACTTCTTTGGCTGGTACACCTACGAGTATACATTACACTCGCTGCTACCATTAGTGTTACTGGCTCTACTTCTGCACCAACAGATATTAATCTTTCTAGTGCTGCTAATACCAGTATTCCTACTACGAATTTATCCGGACTTACTACTGGTATCCGTCGCAATATAATTACGACTATCCGTATTACTACTGGAACGACTGCTTCTGGTAGTTCGATTACAACATATATATATATGTGTATGTATATATACATATATGTATATATACATACACATATATATATATGTGTATATATATATATATATATATATATATATATCACGACGACGGTACAAAGGTCACGATTCCGGCCACGTTCACGTTTACGCGTACATGAAGATGACACTCATTACCGAGATTGGCGCAATTTCTGTCTCGGCTCCGTACCGCCATCCCATTTTTTGATACGCACACGATTCAACTTGTATTTGTTTGATCGCTAACACTACCGTGGCCCAGGTTATTTGTATATGTATGTATATCCCTGTGCATTGTCATGGCGAGTCATATCACAACAACAGGAACAATTATTATTATGATTATGATTGGTACGGCTACGATTACCATGTGTATTTATGTTTTCTATGCCACCCACCCGTACAAGTGCTAATGCTCATAATCTTACCGTCGCTAGGATTACTCATGTTATTGCCACCGCAATCAGTATTATGGCTATTACTTTTTACTGTTACGCTTACTGCTGCTATGGTTGATGCTATTTCTTTGGCTTGTACACTTGCGAGTATATGTTGCACTCGCTGCTACTACGAGTATTACTGGTTCTACAACTGTAAATTATACGAGTGCAGTTGGTAGCATTACGAATCATATCGTTCCTCATGCACACCTATATCCACACATCTAGCTGTTTTTCTGCCAATGTAACTATGGCTCGTTTAAGTATTAGTACGACTACTGTCGGTAGTTCGGTTACTATATACACGTATATATGTATAGGTATAAATATATATATATATATACATATATCAAGACGACGGTGCAAGTTTACGACAATGTTCGCGGTTACATGTCATTCGGATTGCGGTTACGTCCGAGATTACGGTAGCGTTTCGGGTACAGTCGGGAATGCCGCGGTTAGTCTTTCTATTGTTTCTATTTCTACCACTCTTACTATTGTTTCTATTTCTACCACACGTATTTTTATGCGTACTTTTCGTTTTATTTAATCGCTTCGCTCATTCCGCCGGCCCGTATTGTGCCCTCGCTGGCGTTTGGGCTTTTGGGGGCCTTCTGGGGGAGGGGATCAGGAGGAGGAGGATGAGGAGGAGGAGAAGGAGGAAGGTGCCGGAGGAGGGTAGACGGAGCGGTGTGCAGAAGTTACCCAACATTTCTTTGTGCTCGCTGCCCATCTTGTAGCATCGCTGGCAATTGCTAGCGTGGTCGGGGGGGCATTTGGGGGTCTCCTGGAGCCGCTTGGGAGCCGCTTGGGAGCCGCTTGGGAGCTTCTTGGGGGCCTCGTAAGGGCCTTTTGGGGACCTCCTGCGGCTTCTTAGGGGCCTCTTGGCGCCTCCTGGGGGCTCCTCAGGGCCGAGGGCTCGAAATGTTGTTTCGTGTTCCCCTTCTGGGGCTTCTCTTAGAGCGTTCTTGGGGCCCTCTTGGGCCGTCTTGGAGGCCTCTTGGGCCATCTTGCAGCCCTGTCGGAGGTTTCTCGGGCCTCTTTCGGCGATCTTGGGGGCCTCTTGGGCCGCCTTGGGGCGTCGCGATGCCGAAACAGGTGGAAACGCCCAAATCTCCCCCAAATCTAAGGAAAAGCACTGAATTTTGCCTCTTGGGGCCCTCTTGGGAGTGCTCTTGAAAGCCTCGTGGGGCGTCTGGGGGCTATCTTGAGCGTCTTGGGGCGATCTTGTGGCATCTCGGACCCTTGGTGTACCATCTTGGGGGCCTCTTGGGCGCTCTTGGCTCTTCTTGGGACTCTCTCTTGGCCCTTCTTGGGACTCTCGGGCACGTTTCGGGGCCCTGTTGGTGCGCTCCTGGAGCGCTCTGGGGGCTTCTCCAGGGACCTTGCCGGGGTACTGTTCGTCCGAGGACCTCCAGGGGCCTCCCCGCGCGCGCGAACTAGAAATATTGTGAACCAGTAGCCGGAGATCTTAGCACGCCTCTGGCCCGTTGGGCCGGCGAATTGTCAGTTCAATTGTTGATATTACCAGCATTATTCCGATTAGCACAACCATTACTACCAGCAGCGCTACTACAACGGAAACTCTTACCATCGAAATCTCCACAACCATTCATATTTTGCGTACGGCTCGATGTTAATTCAGTTTTAGATCCAGTGTTCCTAATCCTCATACAGTTTCAATGTGTATATGTACATGTGTACCCACCCTACCATTACGATGACGGTTCTTCTTTTCAATACTATTTCATAATGTATCGACGTACCATCAGTTCCTCTATGGCGACTATTACGTTTGCAGGAAGTGATACGATCGCTGAGACTACTATTGTTACTATTAGGATGGAGTTCTATTAATACGTTTAGCATTACTGTCGCTCGTACGACTACAGTTGCAATTGATCTTTTTGCTACGGCTACGGCTACGGCTACGATCATGATGATTAGTTGTACTCTTACGATCACGAGTACTATTTCTACTCCAAGTTGCTAGCACATGTAGTAGTACGTATACTACGACTACTAGTACCAAGCGTAGTACGCTTGCTATTGCAAGTACTCTCGCATTTACTCGGATCGTGCTTTTTATCATAACCCCTATTAGGTAGCAGTCGATTGCGTTTTCATGTTGCACAGCCCGAATCATTGGGGATCTCGCTTTTAAGCTGTGATGCAATGCTTGTTTGGTAGGTTTTCACATCTTCCTACATGTATCCTTAAATCTCGATGGCGGGGCCCAGTGAACATGCATTCCATTGTGCATCGGGTCAGGGGTATTATATATCTTATGCGAAGAAAGCGCTGTTCGATACTTCGGGGTATATAGTAAGGACTGGGCAAGGGGGAGTCGCAAAGAACGCACGAAGTAGAGAGTGCAGAACAGAGAGTACAGCGGATGGTGAAGATGGTAGAGGGTGTCTTGCCAAGGGTAGGGTATAGAAGCGGAGAGCAGATGGTGCATGGTAAGCAATATCACGCAATTCAATGAAGTGGTACAGCATACATGTCTATAGGTCTCCTGTGCCCCCGTCCTTCCACCAACCCCACCTCCTACTCCGCCTCCTCTTCTTCCTCCTCTTCTTCCTCCTCCTTTTCTTCCACTTCCTCCTCCCCCTCTCCAGCCACCCCTCTGCCCCCTTCCCCATCCAACCCTTCCCCCTTTCCTCCTGCCCCTCCTTCCACTTCCTGCATCCTCTTCCTTCCTTCTTTGTCCTA